TAGGTGACAAGAGGGAGACTCTGTCTCAAAAAAAACCCAGAAAAACAAAAAAATAAAACTAAAAATAAGGACACACTAGACTGGGGTTTGCCTTTACATTTAGTGTAAGGATTGCATGCTGGGTATCCTACAAATGTATCAAGAAGGTAATTTTTAAATATAAAACCTTTTAACAGCTTTAGCTTATGTTGGAAACATATGATCTCAATGAAAAGTGTAAAAAGGTAGCCTGCCAGATGTTTTGACTACCTGGTGTATCGCATCTTAATGCTTCCAGGGTTGGCAGTGGTAATACTAGAGATTCAAAACTGTAGAATTAACGAGTTGTGTTTTAACCTTTTCTTATTCTTTACTTTAAACATGTTTTATAATAAAATCATTTATTTGCTGAAATCTTTACTTTCAAACACATGTTTTTAGGAGGAATATTTATAAACCATAGATAAAATTTATAAAGTCTATATTGTGTTTCTCATAGTAAGTATATAAACTGTTAGCCAATAAGGCTGGGGAATGATATTTTCAAGTTAATCAAGTATTCTTCTAATTCATACCGTAACTATTATAACTTCCACATGGTAAAAGCTCAACCCTACACCCATACCATATATGATTTGCATGTGCATATATAGGAAGGCACTTCAGAATCTTGCTGAAGCTTGTGTCAGAATTTTGAGCAACAGCCTAAATGTATATGAATTTGCTTCAATAGAGTTCTGGTTAATATTTTATCATACTCATGCTCATCATTACTTATAAGATGACTTTTGAGGAAGACCAGTTGCCACTTGAACGGAGGTAAAAGAAGGGGAGAAGGTAGCAGCGACTGCTGACCCAAAACAATACAACAAGCCCCAGCTTTGCTCATTCTGAAAATGTCACTCTCGCTCCTACTCCAAACTAAACTCAAAGATTCACCTCTGAAAATGTGTGTGTGTGGGGTATTGTCATTAGTTATATCTTTGCTAGCAGTTAATGCCTTAGCAAAGGGTTAATAAAGAAATAACATAGGATAGGAAAGGGTGGGCCGGGTGCTGTGGTACATGCCTGTAATCCTGGCACTGTGAGAGGCCGAGGTGCGTGGATCGCTTCAACTCAGGAGTTTGAGACCAGCCTGGGCAACACGGCGACAACCCATCTCTACACAAAATACAAAAATTAGCTGGGCATGGTGGCATGCACCTGTAATTCCAGCTACTCAGGAGACTGATGTGAGAGAATTGCTTGAACCAGGGAGGCAGAGCAAGCAGTGAGCTGAGATCGGGCCACTGCACTACAGCCTGGACGACAGAACAAGACCTTGTCTCAAGAAAAAAAAAGGTGGCATCAGGAGGGGAAAATGTGGATCTGTTAGCTAGGTGGAAGTACCCATGATAAATGTCATCTGCCTTACAGTTTTGCTGAGGTATGATAACCTCACTTATGATAACCTACTGCTTACGGTATTGAAAACAACATTCTACAGTCTTACCTTCACTTGGCTTCTCATGCTGTTGTTTCTAGTGAACCTAAATAAATCCCCAGGGGCGAGATCTAATGTACTAACATAACTTATATTACCTAAGCTATTCACATTTGTGAAGATTTTCTGAAAAATCTTAAGTAAAGTCATATATAAAAACAAATGCAAAACTCCCTTTGGGGAGGGTGGGGAAATGGCTACTTTTTGAGCCATTAATAATCTTATACTTTTTGTTATTTAAATTTTCTTTAGTTTATGTCTTGTGAGGCTAGAGGGTATGCAAGGATTCCCCAGACAGCTTGAATAAGTCAAAAAGTCTGCCTTGAATGCCTATAATAAAGATCGGTTACAATTACAAATAGATTTTTTGCTTGATTGCCTTCTGAAATAACTTTCTTTTATAAGAATAAAACCAATTACTCTGGATTCTTCAATAACAATTCAAAAAATTTAGTAGAAAATTTAAATTATATTTCTATTTATACCACCCCAGAAAAGAAACAGCTTGGTTAAGAAAATATTCAGAGACATATAATAATTTGCTCTAACTGGAAATGTTAACTCATATGCACATAGGAAAATAATCACCTCAGCCTTGAACATACAGAGATATTGGTGGAATTAAGACCATAGGCCATCTATGATCAATAGAGAGTTTTGTCAGAACCGATGCTAAAGTATATTAAATCATTATCAGTACCCTTGGTCAAAAAAAAAAAAATCTAAAACAGTCACTAAAAAAGCAATCTTTGCTTCAGTTACGTGGGTGACTAATTCCCATTGGAAATAATTAGTAAGGCAACTGGAAAAAAATATATAGCTCCAGGACCCTGCTCATAAGAAATATACCTGTGGCTTTTAGTATGAAACCAAGAAATATCCGTTACTCTATGCTCTACCTGAAACAGATGCCAAATTGTATCTTCTAATGAGCTAGCAGAGCAAACCAAATGTGTGTTTTTAAAAGTTTGTGGTTTCGAAAATGAATTCAAATTCTACCATAAACCGGATGAATTAGCTGTATGTATGAGAATTAATAGACTTTATTTGCAAAATCATTAAGTTGCAGAAACAAAGGCACCACAGGAGTTTTAAATTAGACTATTTTTAAGTCTTCCTGAGAACACCTGCCCCTACTTCAAACTGCTAATTTACAAAGCACTTTATTTTAAAATCTCTTGGATACAGAAAAGAATTAGAATGCAAATATTTCTGTTCTCACTCTTGCTTTAAGGTATCAGTCAAATAACATTACGTTTCAAATAAACTCCAAAGCTGGCAGAAATGTTAGTATGCCTGCTTTTTCCTGGTCCACTTTACCAAATATGGATTTGGATTTTAATTATAAATGTTTTGGAATGTTGGGGATATGTTTCTTCTTATCTGCGATAGAGTCAGGAACACACAGGAAGATGACCCTACCTCTGATAAAGGAAACGTTCTTTAAGTATCCCAGCACAATAGACATTTTGTCTATAGGGTAAATAATATTCTTTGGGGAAGAGATTTGAGTTTAAAATGTCAGCCAACAAGTACATTATACATCAATCTGTAATAGGTATTTTTTTTGTTGTTGGGAGAAGCAGATGCCCATTCAGATAATCATGCCATTGAATAACTACTAAACGTAACTACCAAGCCCTCAGAAGTTTTATGTTTAACATTAAATGGTTAACAGTAAGTAGGAAAAAAGTATTATGCTCTGCCATTTTGGTGGACACATTGATTACAGTCTTTATTTAGTAATGTTTTAAGTTAAGCTTGGCAGCAAAGATCTGAGTTTTACTGCAAGTCATCGTATTTACTGTTACAGCAGTGCACAAGCAAAAGACATTAAGTTGGGAGAATATGCAAAGTCTTGTATTTTGTCTATTCATTCAAAGTGAAATTAAACCCTCAGACATTGTTCTAGGCAACTCAAGTTTCAATAATATTCTCCTTTGAAATATTCAGAAAATTGAGCTAAAATTGTTTTTGAGTGCATGAGTTTACCATATTGTTGCTTCAATTCTTCATTCACAGTAACATATTTTTTAAGCAACAAAACAATACTGTGCAAACTTTTTGTAAATTTCCCCTTAGTGGTCAATTGTCAATTTTGTGTAAATAAACAGTTTTTTAAGGGTTGACTCTATTAAAATCTTCCTGTTTTACCCTTGTGAAGAAACTGTTTAAAGAACAGATAACATATAAAATTTAAATTATCATTCTTGGGTGAAGATGAAGCATAAAAGTATAGTAATAATTCCTTGTTGATTTTTTTCAGCAGTCATTGTTTGAATTTTTTGTTAGTAAGCTTTTCAATTGGTGTAGCTTTTATAAAAAAACACACAGATCACATTGATTATATATAATGTTTGAAAATATACTTTGTTCACTAATTTTTGTCTATCAAATGTGATATAATTACATTAATAATTTTCAAAGCAGGATGATGTTAGTAATATGGGAAATCTTTTGGAATATTGGTGCTGCATATTGAGAATTCTCATAAAATTTGAGACTATGATAAAATACTGTTTTTATATAAAAATGCAGTCCAAAAGGATTTCCCTAAAATATGGAAATTAAATACTGACTAGTACTAAATTATAAATGTAACAACATATTTATCTATTTCGAATTGCTCTAAAGGACACAGAAGCCAAATCCTCAGTATTCACAAATATTACACACCAGGATAAAGGCATCACAGATAATGATTGTATTTGACCATCTTTGGACTGGAAGGGAAGCCGAAACACCCACCCTGATGACTAAATCATTTAGGTGCAACAAAACGAGCTCAGTTCACACTTCAGGAAGCTGAGTTAGTATTTCGTTTTTCTCCCAAACCATCTATCTGCCTTTATAAGAAAGAACCAACCATATGAATGAGAACTGGAGTCAAGGTTAAAGTAATCTTGCCCAGGAGAGTAGAGTGTTTGCCTCAGGGAGCAGCAGCGGCTCAGCTCAGATGAGCCTGAGTAACAACCGGGCAGCACCTCTCCTGGACAACGTTAGAGCTGCTTGGACGTGTGTCTGAAATGCATCCTCCCAAGTCATCCTGTGACTAGTGGAGTAGATGACAACGTCCCGTCATGTGAAGGGGGAAATACGGTGTAAAGCGTTCTTTTACTTTACAAAATGAAACGCAAGCGTAGAGCATTCTAAGTGTCAAGCAGCCTCCCGGGACGGCGCAGGGGAAGCGCTGCCGCTGCTGTCACTGCTCGCCCTTCAGCTGACACACAGGCTGAGACGCATCATAGGGTCACCAGGAAACGCGGTCACCTCCGGGGTCTCCCCTCTCGCGGTTCCTGGATCCCGTTTAAGGAAACGGTCTCAGGAACGCACAGAAAACAAACTTCCCAGCGGAAGTTCTGAGTCCTCCCTGGCCTTCTCCCACCCCGGAGAGCGGTCGGGTTCCCCCGGCGGTACCGGACGGCAGCGCCGCGGTCCCGTCGCGTCACTCAACTTGTTGAGTCGCGCGGAGGAAGCGCTCGGCCGCAGGGACCTGGGGACCCGCCTCGCCCTCAGCAGCCCCGCAGAGGCGTCTCACCTGCATGTGTCCCTGGTACATGCTGCTTCGGTTTCCTCAGGCTCCGGAGGCCGCCGGACGCTCCCGCGCGGACCTGCCCGCCACAGCAGCGGGGAAGGCGCGGGTCTCTCGCGTGCTCCCGGCCCCGCGAGCGCGAGTACCCGGCGGCCCCTGGCGGCGCGGCGGCTGCGGGGAGCTGTCCTCGGCGCGCGGTGCTGAAGCCGGACGCGGGGAGCGCGGGGCCGGGAGCCGGGTGGGCCGCGCCCTCCTGCCGGCGCGGGTCCTGCCGCCGGGCGCCTCCAGAGCTCACTGGGTCTCCGCGGAACGCGCCCTCGCCTCCTGCCGGGCTGTCTCGCACCCCGCTCTCTCCGCGGCGAACCCTCCTCCCAGCCTGACGTGGGCGCCGCCGCCGCAGCTGCCGAGAGGCCGAGGGCCGGGCACGCGCGCGCGTTCCCAGCGGGCCTGGGAGCGGCCCGAGGGCGGCCCCGGGCGGCGCGCTCTCCCCACGCGCGTGCTCGGTACTCGGGGGTGCGCGCGCACGGCCGGGCGAGGGGCCGGCGGGCTGGGGTCGAGCTGGCGGGAAACGCCTGCAGCGCGGCGTCCGTTCAGGTGTGGCGTGGCGGGCAGCGCGATCCCAGCTGAGGGGTGGGCGCGCTCTCTCCGGGAACCGCGGGCCCTGAGCCCGGTGTCTTGCAGGCTCGGAGGCCGAGCGCGGAGCTGCTAGAGTTTACTTCGGTTCTGATTCACTCTCCAAAGTTACCTCCGCCCCACCCGGTGAACAGAGGCTCTCCGCTCCCCTCATCCCCAATTCGAAAAGGCAAACCCGTGTCCCCAAGGATCTGGCACGCTTAATTTTTTCCCTGGCACGCACCAGCCCTAACATCCTGTATATTTTCCATATTTAATTTATTGTCTGTCTCTCCCTCTGTGCAATGTTATTTCCATGAGATCAGGGACGTTTTTAGGGGGTGGAGTGTTGCACTTGGTTTTGCACGGGAGTGCACAGTAAGGTGCTTAGTACTTCCTGACACAGGGCAGACACCCACTAAATATTTGTTGAAGGAACAGACCTTTGCTGCTACACACACACACACACACACACACGAAGAGTGCATTTAAATATGTCTCAAGTTGACACTGGTTAGTTTGATGTGTCTATACAATAAATGTGCATATATACACACACACCATGGGGTGGTGTATACTGTGATTATCTAATTTTGTTGGAAAAGCATCTCCAATTATACAAGCCCCTGATATTATGTACAGCATGATATAATCCCCAAAATATTGCATATAGCATAGTATGCTTTTCATAAAGTTAAAAAATGAGACTATAAACTCTCTAGAAATGTAAACGTGTATTAATATACAACGATATAAAAAGGAAAAGCAGTGGAACAATGAATATAGTATTCAGAATGTTGGTGACCCTGGGTGAGGGGAAGCAGGGAAACACAGGGAAGCATTTTACAGGAAGGTTAGTTGTTAATGTCTTAGTTTCTATGCTGGATAGTGATTCATAGGACATTTAGTATCCTGTTAAAAATTACTGCATAACCAAATAAAATGGATGGACTGATGAGGAGAATGTGAAATGAACCAATTCAATGCATCTGAGGTCCTAAAACAACCAACCAAATAAACACAAAGGGACTAAGACTTGTAAGCAGGAGACAGAGATTCCTATTATATTCCACCAGTAGTTACCCTTGGACAATTTCCTTTTACTACTTTGGACATCAATTTTTCATGTCTAAACTCTCTATAAAAAACTTATTTTTTTATCCTGAAAATTGAGATATGTTCATAAGCACTGTGAACTGTAAAGTGCCATCCAGTTCTTGTTTTATTGTTCCTTGTAGGATGAAGCACAGAACTAGGAGTCAGCAGGCAGAGGTGCTAGCTCCATGTCACCATCTCACTGCTCTCTTGGGCAAGTGTGCCAAGTCTCTATTTTCTCAATTTTGAAATAAGGAAAATATCTACCTAGTGTGCTGCACAGAGCTGCTGAGGACTGAATGTATGCAAAGGAAGTTGTAAATTACCAACCATGATATATGAATATGCAAATAGACATTTTTCCCCAGTTCAGAAAAGATGAGGACTGATTTTCTGAGACCTCAAGTACTGCCAATTTTAAAATGGGACTAATTATCATAGAACACTATCATGTTGATATAAAAACTTGGAAAATTCTTTGATTTGAAAGCACTAGAAATCTGTGAAGTAACAATAGGGTGACATTTTTCAATCCATTATATGCTTATTATTACCCAATGACAGGTTCAAGGAGCAACAACCATAAGCCCATTTGGATCAGAATGGCAACTTGGAGTTGGATTTGGATCAGCCTGGAGTTGGAGCTGGAACTCAACATACTCTCTTTTTAAACCGGAGTCACTCATTTAGTTACTGCCTACATTCTCAAATCTCAGGAGTGAATGCTTTCCTTTGTGAAGAATTCCTCTTCACACTTATTCTGTTAGAAGATAAACTAAGGCACATTAAATTAAAGGGGAGTACTAAACAGTGGGGTCTATTGGGGGGAAAAGGGGAGGGCCAGTGGGAGGGGGAGGTGGGGAGGGATAGCCTGGGGAGAAATGCCAAATGTGGGTGAAGGGGAGAAGAAAAGCAAAGCACACTGCCATGTGTGTACCTACGCAACTGTCTTGCATGCTCTGCTCATGTACCCCAAAACCTATAATCCAATAAAAAATTAAAAAAAAAAAAAAAAAAGGGTTTTTTGAGCTAACAGCCATTCATGAATCAGGCAGCAGCAGACAGAAAGCAGTTGGGGACTCTGTCAGAAGTTGTTGAAGGGAAAGATTTTATGGGTTAATGTGGAAGTAGAGCGAAGAACTTATTTGATTGAAGAGGAATACCGACTTTATTTGGATCATTCTAATGGAAACCATTAATGGATTCTGATTGGTTAACTTCAAATTTCACTTTCCTGGAATATTTCTTAGAATAGGAATGAGATTTGAATTGTCTTTATTTTCCTTAGAAACAATGCATGCCTGATAATATAGGTCCAGAACAATATTTTCCAAAATACTTATTTTGTAATTAAATCTGAAAACCTTTGTAACTCAGAACCAGCAGCATCAGCATCTCCTGGGATTCTGTAAGAAATGTAGACTCTTGGGTGCCATTTTTGACCTGCTGAATTAGAATATGCATTTCAACAAGATCCCCAGGTGCTGGTATGCACCATACAATCTGAGCAGCCCTGTGGCCTAGAAGGTTTATTTATTCATGTAAATGTGTGGTAAAGCTAGCTCTTGCCTTTTGAAATGATAACACATGAGCAACCTCAGTACCACGAGAGAAGTGCAGCTCATATTGCACTCATTTATAAAATAATCTCGCGTATTTTGAGTGGTCAGCGGATCTGGCATAAAAGCATAACACATTCAGCTTTCTTAGAGCAGGAAATGTGCTTAGTGCCACTGCAATTTTAATCACTTAATACAATTAAATAATTGAGAGCAGTAGAATCTATTTTGTATCAACAAAATTTAATTTTGCTTATTAGTAAGTGAATCCTCCTGCATATCAAATGGGTATTGAAAATTCAGGATTTATTAAATCTTTGAAAAAGCTGAGTAATAATAATGAGGTCAGTGTTCGTGTGGACTTAAAAAATCAGAGATAAGAGTCTTTGATGATTCAATCATTCTTTTATAATCTGTACAATTTAAACTCTGCTGCTAAAAGATGGTGTAGGAGAGACAAAAGTCAAGATAACTGTAGACCGAAATTAAAATGACTAACTGGTTTTTGTTGTTCAATCAGAAGGAGGAACATTTTGTTAAAGTTTGCCCACTTGCCCTTTTTGTATCTTCAAGACATTGAATGAAATTAGCTGGTGTTCAGGGCATTTGATCTGGAAAAAGTGGGAAGCCCACACAGCTGACCCAGCCGATACAGCTCAATAATTATGAATAAGAAAAGCAGGTGGACGCTGATGACTAGGAGATGGCAGCAGCATTCTTCCAAATGAACAGACAAGCTGGACGCTTCAGAGCTGGGCCTCCTATTAAGCCCATTTAAGAAATTTGTTTATTCTTTAGGACAATGTTCTTTCAGTGATTCAAGATCACTTTTAATATTAAGTGTACTTTCCAGAGCTTCTTAGTCCTGGTGAGAAAACATGTGTGAACAAAAGTATTTCTTGCTTTTGACTCCTTGTTTCTACTTTTACCACTGCCATCCTAGCACACATTCCATAAACCTCTTATCACGTAAAGCTGGTTTTATCACCTCTGTCCGCTTCCTATGCCAACCTATCATATACATCGCAGCCAGATTAATTTTATAAAGGTCAGCATTAATTACAACGCTGCCCAGTTCAGAAATCTTTAGTGGCCTTCCATTGCCTACTGATGTCCCCAAACTTCAGCTTTTTATTCATAGTCATGGAAAATCATTTGCTGTCCAGGGCCACATTCTCTTCCAGTGGCAGGAAGCCTTTTTTCTTGAGGTTCTTTGCTTTGAAGAACCATCTTGTTCCCACTCTGGTCCATGTGTGTGATAGGAAACATTTTGCTACCAGGCTTTGGGGGTGCAACATGGCACCCAAGTCGAGCCAACCGGTGCGTTCCAACCTCATTGGCCACAGTTGGAGATGGGGATATGACCCAATCAGTCAATCAGGGAAATGAACTCAGCTCCAGGACTACTTGGGAGCAGAGTGATTCGTCCTTTGGCCTGGATGTTCTAATGACATTAGCTTGAAACTGCCAGAATCCAGCACACCCATCCTGAAAAGGAAAACAACCTGGGTGGGAAAAAATCCAGGCAGGCTCCAGGAGACAAAATTTGAGCCACTAAATAAACCAACACTAAAAAAAGTCTGAAGTAGCCTTTAAGTTATTTCAGCTAGTACCATCTCTTTTCTGGTTTAGTCGGACTTCTGGTCACTTGCCATCAAAAGAATACTTATGAACACAGTGGCTTTCCATAGACTGAGCCTGTCTTTTTCAATTCTGCACGTTCTCTGCCTTTTGCAATAACCCTGCTTTTATATTATTCCCCAAAGTCAGCCCAAGTTATGCTCTTGCCTCTCCTTAGAATGTACTCCCTCTCTTTACTTCTCTTGAATAAAAGCTCATGCATTTTCAAAATTTGGCCTCAAATTCCATTTCCTTCCTGAAGCCTTTCTTCGTCCTCTGAT